AGTGCATTTGTTTTGCTCTCACTACCAGAACTTTAGATGAAGGGAATTGATATTTCATTTTAAAACGGTATCAGAAAGAGCAATGCTATTTATCTAGATTCTATGTGATCATCGGTATGTGATAGTGGGTCATTACCACATTGTCCAATAAATTTTGAATGTATTTTTTGACATTGGACAATGTGACAGTTATCACAGACTAGGGATCATCTAGACCCTAGATGAATATCATTTTTCTATCATAAAATCATCCTTCACAAAAAGGGGTAATTCAAGTTCCTTAGGAATCTTCAGTTATATGTCAAGAAAATGATCCTAGATATGCCAATTTATGCAGTTTGACAGACAATTCTCAAGAATTGGCATTTGAGGCCAATGACTTCACCAAGCAGCTTGCTGATAATGGATGCCTGAAAAGCTCTATCTATATGTATGTGATAAGTCAATATTAGGTCGGTCGAGACACTTTTCCCTTTGGTGAAGTGAGAAGACAGCTCAAGAACGAATATAATTTTTTTGCAATGTTAGGTTTAAACACAAACAACATTTTATCTTCTTATAAGAATCAAAGTTGGCTAATCGGTCTGCATCAAAACCCGATTTACTCAAGTATGGGCCTGAACTGGCCCGTCTACCCAAATAGTGGTCGACCTGTCTACTGATCTATTGATATTGCTGGACAGTGCCGACTAGGCCTGTCAATGTCTTTTTTGTTTGTGTAAATTACACACAACCCTATGTTTCANAGTGCATTTGTTTTGCTCTCACTACGAGAACTTTAGATGAAGGGAATTGATATTTCATTTTAAAACGGTATCAGAAAGAGCAATGCTATTTATCTAGATTCTATGTGATCATCGGTATGTGATAGTGGGTCACTACCACATTGTCCAATAAATTTTGAATGTATTTTTAGACATTGGACAATGTGACAGTTATCACAGACTAGGGATCATCTAGGCCCTAGATGAATATCATTATTCTATCATAAAATCATCCTTCACAAAAAGGGATAATTCAAGTTCCTTAGGAATCTTCAGTTATATGTCAAGAAAATGATCCTAGATATGCCAATTTATGTAGTTTGACAGACAATTCTCAAGAATTGGCATTTGAGGCCAATGACTTCACCAAGCAGCTTGCTGATAATGGATGCCTGAAAAGCTCTATCTATATGTATGTAATAAGTCAATATTAGGTCGGTCGAGACACTTTTCCTTTTGGTGAAGTGAGAAAACAGCTCAATAACGAATATAATTTTTTTGCAATGTTAGGTTTAAACAAAAACAACATTTTATCTTCTTATAAGAATCAAAGTTGGCTAATCGGTCTGCATCAAAACCCGATTTACTCAGGTATGGGCCTGAACTGGCCCGTCTACCCGAATAGTGGTCGACCTGTCTACAGATCTATTGATATTGCTGGACAGTGCCGGCTAGGCCTGTCAATGTCTTTTTTGTTTGTGTAAATTACACCCAACCCTATGTTTCA